GTCCGACAAATGTGATATCGTTAATGTAATGTAAAAAACTGTCGATTGGTATTAAAAACACACGTACATGTATCAACTTCCTTAGGGACGCCACAGCGACATGTTGAGAGCGTCGGACTCCCCCGAAGCCACGTGCTTTTTGTCCGACATATATGATATCGTTAATGTAATACAAACAACAGTCGATTGGCATTAAAACTACACGTACATGTATCAACTTCCTTAGGGACGCCACAGCGACATGTTGGGGGTGTCGGACCTTCCCCAAAGCCACATGGTTTTTGTCCGACAAATGTGATATCGTTAATGTAATGTAAAAAACAGTCGATTAGCATTGAAACTACACGTACATGTATCAACTTCCTTAGGGACGTCAGAACGACAACTTCACGAAGAGCTAGCGCAGCAATGTCCCATCGCCCAGGGTGGAGACATGAAAATTATTGTCCGACTTGGTGTTATGAAGCCGCTCAGGAAGTTGGGCGTGTACATGAGTTACAAAATTTTAAGGTCGATGTACTGGGGACTATATACTTATATATTTGTTCTTGTGACACTTGGTTTTGATATTTGTTGGAAAAAACCTGAATCCAATCCATTACCTATAGAAAAACCTAGCAAACTTTTAGATGAAAGACCACATAGACTGGAACACAAACACTCCGCTCTAACTTTTTTAAAACAAAATAACACCAAAACTTGTGAAAAAGCTGTAAAAACCGCATAAAACATAACCGGCCTAATCTAAACGAATGTAAATAAATGATTTGTTTTACCTCAGGGCCACTGGCGCCGAGTAAATGGGGGCATCGGGGCAGGTGCACCCATGGGAGCTCTCGTAGGAAATGTGGAAGTACAACATGTTTGATGCTCATTCCGTTCCATGTGGTAATATCGAGTATCATGTAATTTAAATTTACACAACTTTGTATAAGAATTATACAAGTGGTTGTGTGTGGTATCTTGTCCATCTGTCCTTCCGTTATTTGTAGTCAATTATATGCTCTATTACTTTATGTTGCTATTCTCCATCTCTATTCTTTGATAATAATCGGGACAGTCCGGCCCACAACGGGAAGTCTGGCGCTTGCGCCGTATGCCATATAATTTAGTTTTGGCGTGGGTAGGCAGAGCAATGATATATCGATGTTTTGTAGAAATCAAAATATTATTCAATATAGGTATCGATATATTTTAATCGGTATTTTATATCCTATTCAAAATCCGTAGTCCAAAGTTAAAGGTAAATTTATCACCTTTCCCTATCAAATAGCACTGAAAGGTGATAAATTTTACCTTTAGCTTCAGACATCGGATTGTGAATAGATAATGCATTCGATATATCGATATAATCTTTTCCATATATCGGAACTTTTATAATAATGCCTTCGCTCGTGCGCATAGTTCATTGGTTGACAGAAACTGTGTTGATAGTGACAGTCTGACAGTATATAGAGGCGGCAAAAATGAAACAAAACGTCAGTTAGGGTGCGTGCGTAGCAATTAAATGAGGAAAAGAGTTTTTCCGCATAATTAAGGAACGTTATTTTTTTACCACCGTGTTTCAGGACATGGAGGTACCAGGGTGACTTAACATTGCATAATTATTTTACTTTTCCGCACTAGTGCCTAAATGCGTGCAGGAAAAAGCAATTCTCGCACGTTCGTAGAAAAAAAATTCGAGCTTCCCCCTCCTCCTATGAACTAATTTATAAAGTTGTTCTGCACCCATGAGGACTTTCAAAAGTCGGCGCCTCTGCTCAGGGCGACTGTCAAACTCATTTGTGACGTCACATGGACATGCCCTATTAAAGTGTTTGTCGTATTTTGGGGAAAGATCTTTGCCTATATCAATTCAAGTCAGATTATGACAAAATACTAGAATATCCACAAATAGGAAAGTTGATGCAGAAACTGACGCTTTCTGAATTCTGGGTTAGTTAACATAATAACCAGACCTTCGGATTTCCTTGATGCAAAACTAAGTATCAGCAATACATTAAAAAGCCTATATCTCAAAGTGGCTTTTCAGTAGATTCTGAAAATGAAACTGCACAGGCCGAATAACAAAGATGGTGCAAAGGTATTAATGCTGAAGCCAATTAATGATGAGGATGAGGCAAGCGGAGAGTTTGGAGATGGTACTGAGAGAAAAAATAGCAAGAAATTTTAGAATAGGTACATGTATTGAAAGTGCTATTGCATTCTCATATGTAGCATATTAGTTGTATTCCTTTCACACGCGAAAGGAGCTCCGGAACAGCTCCGAGGCTTCACGCGCTTATTCCTTTCGAAAAGTGTTTGTTGCACCAAGCATCTGTTCCCTGCAAATCGGGGGCGACTAAACACCGGAGCGAGTAGCTCGAGTGTTTCAAGCTCTTGAAAGGAATACAACTATTACGTCAACCACGTATATTATTTTTAGTTTGTTCTGTGTTGTTTTAAATTTTTTGTTCGTAATAAATGAAGAAATAACCACACAGATTTTAATTTCCTACTGCACAATATACTTTTCCTACTGCACATTTTGTTTCCAACTGCACGTTAGAATAACCTCTGCCTGTATTCTCGTAACCGGGGAACAGCATTCTCAAGAGAACGATTGCTCTGTCTTTGTCAGTATTATGGAAATAACAAAATGGGCGACTAAGACAGCGCAATCGTTCTCTTGAGAACGCTGTTCCCCGGTCGCATCTAAACATTCCGGTATAGGATTCGGCACCTAGGCATATTTCATTGGTCCGTTTGAATTCGGACCGCCAATTAATGCGGAGTGCCGAAATCTGTACTTGAATGTTGAACGGTGCTGAGCCTCAGGTCAGAATGGTATATACATATACTATATGGAGTGCCGAATCTAAGGTCAAAATGTTAAACAGTGCCCAGCTGCAGGTTGGAATGTTACTCCGTTAGCGCGGCACAAAATCAACAAACAAACTTCATTTACTTTTTGTTACACGTTCATTTTATTTCAATGATACATTTCAAAAATCTTGGAGAATAATTTGCAGTGGCGGATCCAGGGGGGGATAATAAAAACCTGAAACCTGGCAAATTAGAGTAGAAAATTTTGGAAATAAATACCCTAATAGGTATATTTATCTTTTTTTTTTTGGTATCTGTAGTGCTTAGTTTAATTAAAATATCAATTGAAGCCAAACAACAGCAGTTTTTGGATTTTCCTTTCTTATTATTTCCTTGATCCACTTTTTTGTAAGCACTATGATGGCATACAAAAACATATCTAAAAAATCTATTTTCTAAAGCCTATGTCATTGAATTGACATTGTACACAAACCTGCATTTGAATCTGTTATAATTATTCTTCGCTGACTTCACATTCCAATTCGTGTATGTTATATCACTATACTCTTCTATCCATTGCTTTATATCGTTTTCCTCCAAAATGTTAACTTGGTAAGTTTGCTCACCACATTGAAAGTGTTCAAATGATCCAGGCAAACTCATCTTGCATGTTTAAGCACAAGAACACATGAAGCAACGGCCAAATAGACCGCATCCGCCGCAAAATTGTAGCCAAGAGGAACACGAAGGAGGTGGACAGCTGATTTAATATAAAAACCGTGCCAAACGCATGGCAACATTCGGACCTGATGCTCAGCACTGTTTAACATTTTGACCTTAGATTCGGCACTCCACATGGCTGTTGCTAATGGACCATTCTGACCTGAGGCTCAGCACCATTCAACATTCAAGTACCAATTTCAGCACTCCGCATTTATTGGCGGTCCGAATTCAAATGGACCAATGACATATGCCTAAGTGCGGAATCCTATACCGGAATGTTTAGATGCTCCACGGTCACGAGAATACTGGATCCCTATTTAAAAACAGGGGAGCAGCGATCTCAGGAGAACGAGTGCTCCCTCTTTTTCAATGATATGCCAATGATAGTATAAGTAACAAAGACGGAATACTCGTTCTCCTGGAAACGCTGCTCCCCTATTCCAAGAATAAGGACCCTGGTGTGGAGTGTGGAGGCCAAAGACACAACATGCGCCAACTTAGGAAAGTGCAAAGACTGGCAATGCGGTCCAAAGTCCACACCAACAGTAGCCATGGAGACACTCCTAGACGTCCCACCTCTGCACATTTTGATACAAAGGTAGGCGAGGATGTGAGCATACAGACTGCAGCCGACAACCACCTACAGCAAAAAGACGGGACACATGGCAATTTTAAAATAAACATGGTCCAGATACAAAACACTTTTTATCCAACACTCCCCTAAGTAAAGTAAGGTACTTAAATCATCAAACTTGCAATTTTTTTAAGACAATATTGCTGTTATGATTTTCACCTAAATTGAGTTGTAGGTTTAGTATGATTTTCTTACTTAATTGTGACACTAATTTCATTACCTATATTGAATCCGATATAGAAGCTGACATCTCTATAAGGTGTCGCCGATGATCCGGCTTCACTCCGACAAGAAAAATGTTAATTACCAACATTCAATACCATTAGAAACCACCATCGGCTTTAAAGGTAACATTCTGCACTGGTGTAAGTACATCGAAATGGATTGGCGACGATTTAAGTGCAAAACGCGATGGTTTTTTTTTTATTAGTTTTTATTAGTTAGAGAGCCCGAATAGTTCTTCTTAACCCGATAAGAAAATAATTTCACGTTTTACGTTTGCCTTTAAAGCGACTGAGGACTGGAACGATATCTAGTCCATCGTGAAAATAGAAAACCACTATTCATTGACAATCAAGAATCGATTTCTATGATTTAGATGTCACATGGCACTGTGGACTGGTTGAAAAGATATACTATTGAACGGTTTGTTCAATGGTAAAAGTTTGTTTTTGACATCTTTAACTATTTTAATTTTTAAATGAATTTGCCAGAAGTCCCATGATAAAAAATTTATTATTAAACTGACAAGAAACATGAAAGTTTAAAACATACATGTCCTAATACGGCATATCAATTGGCTACACAATAACATTATTTTTTTCTATAAAAAAATTACATTAATTTTGTCATATTTATAATGATTCAGTCCTTTCACTCCAAGATGTAACACGCCGGAACCACTTAAATTGAACATTTTTTATAGCATCATCATTTGAAAATTTAATTGGTTTCTAACGAAGGCCGACAATAAAGTTTATATTAGAAATGCAAGAGCAAGAACCTATACTTCACGTGTTGGTATCACAATGCGGAGAAAGAAGCGAATTTGGAATATTGTTTTTGTAGTAGTAATGTTGTAAAAATTACTATAAGAACTTTGAAAATTGTTGAAAACTGTGGTTTTAACGGGAAAAATAAAACACAACGACGCCTTTTTATGAGCTTCAGCTACTCGACTGACTTTTTATTTTTAGACACAATTGACATTTTACAAAAGACATATGACAAAATAAATGGTACAAATTCTACAAATAAACAAATACTTATTATGAACATAGATGGCGTTGGTAGGTACGATTTAAAAACATTTTGATATACCCAAATACATAATTCCAACACCCCCACTTATCAAAAACTTTTTAAACCTAAACCTGTCAAAAAATAAACATGTTTAGTTCTCCCCAAACACTTTGTAAGAATGTCAGCTATCATCTCATTCGTGCTTAAATAGTTAACATTTATAATTCCATTTTGTATAGCTTCTCGAATGAAATGATGTCTGATATCAATGTGCTTTGAACGTTCATGGAAAACCGGATTATTGCATAACTTCAGAGCACCTTGATTATCATTCAAGATTGTCACACAATCCAATTTGCCACAAATTTCATTTATGAGGTTGCGCAAGTAAATGGCCTCTTTTGAAGCATCACTGATGGCCATGTACTCGGCTTCCGTACTTGACAGTGCAACTGTTCTCTGTTTGCTACTTTTCCAGGAAATTGCACCACCAGATAGTTTAAATAAATAGCCTGTATAGGACTTCCTATCCATCTTATCAGACCCCCAATCAGCATTCACAAAACCCTCCAAATCAGAATCAACAATATCAGAATTCCCTCCCTTCATAAATGTTAATTTGAAATGCTTTGTGCCTTTCAGATACCGAAGTATTCTTTTGGCACACTGCCAGTGGTATTCCGAATAATTATTGTTGAACTGACTCAAGTGATTTACTGCAAATGTTATATCTGGCCTAGTCAACACTGATAAATACATTAGGCTTCCTATAAGCTTCTGATATGGTAAATCACTTAAATCACCCCGTAAATTATTTTCTGAATCTTTAATATTTAGTGTGTCAATCTTGCTGTCTAAAGGAGTATTTACTGGTTTACAATGTTCCATACCAAAATTTACCAAAACTTCATCTATATACTTTTCCTGATCCAAGAATATAGTATTATCTTTGTAATCCCTAGTGATTTTAACTCCCAGACATTGACTGGCTTCCCCCAAATCTTTAATGTCAAAAACTGAGCTTAATTTTGTTTTTAGACTTTCTACCTCATCACAATTGTTTGAGAAAACAAAAAAATCATCCACATAAAGTGCTATCAGAGTAAATGAATTTTTATCCCTTTTTATAAATAAACATGATTCATGTTGGGACTTAATGTAACCCAATTTCGATAAAACTTCATTCACTCTGGCATTCCAAGCTCTGGATGATTGCTTTAGACCATAAACTGCTTTCTTCAATTTATATACTTTGTCTTCCTGATTTTTAACAACAAAACCTTCAGGTTGTTTCATATAAACTGATTCATCAAGTAAACCATTCAAGAAAGCAGTTTTCACATCAAGGTGTATAATTTTCAAGTCTAATCTTACCGCTAATGCAATCAACAGCCTTAATGTAGAGTGTCTCACTACTGGTGAAAAAACGTCACCATAATCCAAACCAGGTTTTTGCACACAACCTTTTGCCACTAGGCGTGCACGATATTTCACTTCACCACTGTCATTGTTTTTTTGCTTGAAACCCACTTACATGGAACAATTGTCGACAATTCTGGAATCCTGTCTGTCAATTCCCAAGCATCATTTACTTCAAAACTCTGGATTTCCTCAGACATAGCTTTCTTCCATAAATTAGCATCTGCCCTTGCCATTGCTTGCTCCACTGTGACTGGATCACCATTTGCACTAATATCCTGTACACAAGCATAAGTGACATAGTCTTCAAACTGTTTCGGCTTGGTTATCGTTCTTCTTAATCTTCTGGTTTCTGCTTCAAGTTCTGCTACTTGTGATTGTGGCAATTCAACAACAAAATCATCATCACTGGTTGACCCTTCAGAATTTACTGAATCATAATTTGAAGAATTCTGATCAAAAGAGTTATCTAGCTGATCAACTTCAGTTGTTTGTTCAGCCCCCACTGAATCTGTTGATTCCTGCGGTTCAAATTCTGTTAGCTTAAGTTGTGTCACATTTTCTTCGATGACTACATCTCTGCTCACAATTATCTTCCTTTTATCTGGATCATACAATCTGTAGCCCTTGATGTTGTCACTGAAACCAATCAGAATCATCATCTTTGATTTTTTATCCCATTTTTGTCTTTTTTCTTTGGGAATTAAAGTCATTGCCTTGCTACCAAATATTCTTATTTGACTTACATCAGGCTTTTTACCATGCCACATTTCATAAGGTGTTGTTTCAACTCCTGAAACTTTAGACCGATTCCTGAGGTAGACTGCCGTTGCTACAGCTTCTGCCCAAAAAAGCTTTTCCATTTTTGCATCATACAATAGACAACGTGCTTTTTCAACAATGGTACGATTCATTCTTTCGCTTATTCCATTCTGTTGAGGAGTATAAGCGTTTGTTTGCTGATGCAAAATACCATGCTTTTTATAAAAAAATCTAAAAATATTGCTGTCAAATTCAGTACCTTGATCACTGCGAAATATTTTAATTTTTGTACCTCTCTGGTTTTCAACATAGTTCTTAAACTCTTTGAATTTTTCAAAAGCTTCATCCTTACTTTTAAGAAAATAGACAAAAGCCATTTTCGTATAGTCGTCAACTAATATAAAGAAATATTTTGAGCCTCCGAGGGACGTTACCTCCATAGGTCCACATAAGTCTCCATAAATTATTTCCAAGACTGAACTGGCTCTATTTCCCTTGTGACTAAAAGGTAATCTGGATTGTTTGCCTTCACAACAGATTTCACACAAGTCAAAGTCACTTTTGACTAAAGTACCTTTGTATTCGAGTCCATTAACCAGTCCATTTTTCATCAAATTTAAGTCGTTGTAATTTAAGTGACCAAAACGTCTATGCCAGACTTCTCCAGAGAAAGCTAAGCCTGCTACCAAGTTTAACTGTGGCTTTATTACATTTAATTTGTAAACGTTGTCCACTAAGCTTGCTGTAGCAATCAGCTGCTCTTTGTTATTGTATATGTCACAACCATTAGCATGAAAAATGACTTTGTTGTTGTTTTTAATTAGTTGACTTACCGATAATAAGTTTGTCTTCAATCTTGGTACATAAAGGGCATTACAAACTGTGACCGAATGTTGCTGATTATTAGCTATTGTCGTGATTTGTATATCACCTGAACATTCTATAGCCAGCTTGTTGTCATTAGCCACTGTAATTTCCTTCACTTGGACTTCTGGATTCACATTTTTTAGCCAATCTTTCTGTGAGGTAAGATGAAAACTGCATCCTGAGTCCACATACCAATCTGACTTGTCAAAACTACCAGTAAAAAACACAGCATTAAATGCATTGGATGAATTGTCTTGGTTTTTTTTATTTTCTGGACACTTGTTCATATAATGTCCTTTTTTCTTGCATTTGAAACAGGTGAGCTCACTTTTATTTTTATTTACATTCCTTGTGCTGCCACCTTTATTTCCTCTATTGAACACTTTACCGGCAAAAGCACCACCAGCTGAGGAGCGATCTTCAACGCCAGCTAGGTGCATATCCATTAACCTAGATTTAATGGAATCTGCAGTTACGTCATCAATTCCAGCGTGTTCAATAGCAATAACCATGGGCTCAAATTTGTCGGTTAATCCTGCAAGCATCAAGCTTCCAATTAACTCCTGACTCAATTTGAAGCCACATCGTTCAAGCTTCTGAGAGGTGTCTATCACTTGGTTCACATAATGTTTCATCGATTCACAATTGTCAAGTCTCAACGAGATTAATTTTCGCAGCAAACCGATTTTACGTGCAAAACCTGAGTCTTCATAGAGCCTCTTCAACTTAGTCCAAACTTCTTCAGCCGTGCCACTGTCTTTAACATGGATGTACAAGGAAGAATCTAATGTCAAAATTAGTTTCGCTTTGGCTTTGCTCACTAAAACGGTATCTGTCTCAGAACCATCGATACACTTCGACAATCCTTCCAGGATGAACACGTTTTCCACTGCGAAAGCCCAATCCGCGTAATTTTCACGACCAGTTAATTTTGGCACGCTGGATAAATAGTTCATGGCCATCTTAGCACTCAAAAAAAAACTCGCGTTTTCTGTTGACCGGTTTTATTACCGAAAAAGAAACACAGGAAACCCAACAATAAACCGAACACGTCTGGGACCATAACCTGTAAAAATTACTATAAGAACTTTGAAAATTGTTGAAAACTGTGGTTTTAACGGGAAAAATAAAACACAACGACGCCTTTTTATGAGCTTCAGCTACTCGACTGACTTTTTATTTTTAGACACAATTGACATTTTACAAAAGACATATGACAAAATAAATGGTACAAATTCTACAAATAAACAAATACTTATTATGAACATAGATGGCGTTGGTAGGTACGATTTAAAAACATTTTGATATACCCAAATACATAATTCCAACAAATGTACGTAGTTTGTGATTATCATTCCAAGTCGAAATCTTGGCACGAAGAAACTTGAAGATCCTCAACATTTGGAGTAATAGTTCCAGAGTTACAATTTGTATAACTTCTTGAGCTCAGATAACCAAATGGATTAAATGATTAGTTGGTTCTAGAAGCGGAAGTTTGTGAATACATTTAATTATTTGATACTCTGTAGATTTTTTATCAGTTTCGATACTGATTAATTTGCAGATCTCCATGTTGGAAGAAGGACTTGGCCTAAGAACTGAACTACTTCCAACAGTTCAATAATT